CCCCCCACCTGCAGACATCACTAATTGATCACTGTGTTTGGATGTAGTTGTGCACACATTACTAATGTAGCTCTTTTCCACCCCCCTAGCTGTTACAATGAGCCTTACTAATGACTTTAAAAGCTTGATTCCAGCATGCGTTTCTTGCAACTTTTGTTTGCACCAATCGAATGTTGTAACGTTGGAGCACGATGTCCTTATTGTAGAACTAGAAACTAGTTTGGTTAGTCTGCGTGTCTTTCTGAGTGGTATGTATTTTCCTTTGAACATGCATGCATTTTGTAGTATCACTAAACCCAACTTCCTGATTCATCAGTCTACTGTAGCTATGCTTCCGTCTGAATCGTTAGAAAACTCTGTGCTAGTTAACGTTTTCTCTTGCAGCTTCCAGAAGCCTCCAGTCAGGCTCTGTTTGCAGACAGCCAGGCTCACATCTGGGCTTTAGAAGGTGGGCAGAGATGGTGGACTTTTCATTTAAAGCCGAAATGTCCTGTTGATACACCATGCACAATATATTCTGTTACATCCTCCCCCAGGGCTGACGTACCTTGTTCAAGCCTCCTTCTCAGAAGACCAGTTTGGGGTCGTACAGACTGCATTACCCAGCATTCTCGGGTGTATGCTCGTCTTACAAGAGGTAAGCTGTTTTATGGTTTACTGCAGCTACCCTGAGATATGGGGGAACAAGGGACTGCTATCAAATGTAAAAGCCCATCTGTGTTGTGCTGAGTGTGAATTGGCTTTGCAAGTGAAAACCTTCCACTGGAAGAGACTTACTCACGCTCCATAAGTTCAACATAGATGTATAGAAAAGACCATTTGTATCTGTTTGACAAGAAGCTGAGACATCAAGGAAATTGAGTGAATTGTGTTGTGTGTCTCCAGGCAGTAGATCGGCACTTCAAGCTGCCTCACGCCTCCAGTAAGCCCGTCCGGTCGGCCAGCAGCCTGGGAGACTCCACTCACAAAACACTGCGCTTTGCCCTCAGAGCCACTCTCAAGACTGCCATCTACAGGATAACTACTACTTTTGGAAGTCACTTAAGGTAAGGCCTGTTGTTGAAATTGACTCTCTTCAAATTATACAAAACATGTGGGACTATAAAAATGTATAATGTATATATTGTTTTTAATCCTCAGTGCTATTCAGATGTCTGCAGAGCACCGGAAAAGATTGCAGCAGTTCCTGGAAAACAAGGAGTAGAACACCCGACACTCGGCTCGTGTGCCTGCAGATTCTTATCAGCTTGTGTGTGCACTAGCATGAGTGAGGCCAATACTGAAAGCCCATGATAGTGCCTCCTTTTTTTATATTTATGTGTGCAAGATGTCATGGTGGAATGAATTTGATAGTTATATCACATCCTCCATGTGTGAGGCTTCCTGCTACACTGACAGACTGAAACAGGATAGAAGCCCAGCTGTTCTTCCTCTTTAGGAGATTTAAACTAGCTCACAAAAACAACTTACTCCAAAAATATTTGTTTCATTTGTATTACGAGATAATGATATTTGACTTGACTCATTCATTTGGAAAAGTTGTGAAGGGCTTTGTTTCACATGATGTGCTTTTTGGTACCGCACTTCATAAGCTGTCTTATGGAATTATGATATCCTTCTGGTTTCAAAACATTATCATTTGGTGTGAGTGAGAGAGTAGTTGGCGTGTCAGTGATGAGAAAGAAGCTGTGTTGCTCTCTCGATCTGAAATGTGTTCTGGAAATATATATTTTTTTAAAGATCTGGTTTTGTTCTAAACTCCAGCCTGGAGAACTCGTTTGCTGTCCACCTCAGTTCAGGTTCTCTAACTAGAAAATACACCATCAGATGTACAGATCAGACACCCGTTTGTCTGTTAACTATTTAGTTTGTCAGCTTTTGCTCATGAGAAATGCGGCTGTCTGTCATGTCAGATAAAGGATGGAGATTTGGTGTGACTGGTAAAAGTGTGGGCAAAATGATTTGATTGTAAATGCGTATTGAGTTTGATATCCGCTCAGAGACCTTTTGAATAAAAACATTATGTAAATATCCATTTCCATGTTGTCATTTCTCAGCAGAAACAATCAAATGACTCTCCCAGAAATTAAAATGTTGTTTCTAGATCAAGGGATTTGATGTGCTTAATACAGATAGAGGCAGGGTTATCAAATGTTTAGGGGGNNNNAGGTCTCAGTTGGTTCGGTTTCCTCTGCTTACTTTTAATACTTGTAAATAAAACTTTTGGCCCGTAATTTATTTTCCTCATTGTAGCGACCAGAGAGAAGGGGGGGGATATATCCAGTCTCTGATAGTGTTAAGCTATTATGAGAGTGCTCTGTTTGATTCTGAAATTGTATATATTTATATACATATATGCATGTGCGTGTGTGTCCGCATCTGTAGCCTGCTATCGTTGCATTATACCGCACTGTGAATGAATTCAAAGTAAATCTATAAGTGGTCATGAACACATCTGTCCATCAGACAGAGGGCTGCTGTGCCTCCTGTCATCATTAATGGACGTCTCTTTAAAATGACCGCTCAGAGGAGAGGAGTTCTCATTTCTCTAACCGCCTGCTGCTTCCCCTCCTCTCTCCTCGGTTCCCCTCCTCTTTCCTCGGTTCCCCTCCTCTCTCCTCCGCTCGCATCTCCTGTGGGCGGGACTAAGTCTCGAGGATAGGAGTCGAGGAGGGGAGTTAGAGAAATGAGAAAGGGCCATAGTCAACCCTTTTTCAGATTTGACTTATTCTTGTGGGAACGGCACAGACGATGCCACTTAAAGGCTGCACCAGAAACAGCTACGTTCAATTCAACCATTATTCATATTTTTTTTACACCTGTGCTTTTGAGCCAAACCATCTCAAATCAAGAAAGGGCCTGAAATATGAATTACTATCCTAACCAAAGGAGAACATAATTGTAAAGCCAGCATTAGTCCCATTTCTTGAGATGTATAGTATATCTTAGTGACATCTTTAACACAAATGTTGATTGCCTTTATGGGGAACGTAGGGTCCACATCTTTTTGGAGCTCTTGTGCTCTGCTAATATTTGCACATCATATCAATCACATGAATCTAAAGACATCCATCATTCTCCAACTCTAAGTGAATATACAGCAGCCTGCAAAACTGGTGTCAGCAAAAGACTTCACAGAGTACTTATTTGTCAGTCGATAAATAAAATGAATATAACACGAGACCATGAAATGACAACATCAAAAGCACTGTCTTTTTGTTTATTGCACGAATCGTACATATTTCCAACTTAACTGGTAGAACGCAATATTAGGCAGTGGTGGACAAAAAAAGTGTTCATCTAACGCCTTATGTATACAAGTTGCCAAAAATAGCCAGTGGGAAAATCTGGATAGAACTTTCTCAAATGATGGATTAAGATCTAGAAAGGAAATACTATTTAGCCTTTTCCTTGAACAAGAAATAGAATCTGTAATACTTGAAATGACAGCTGATCTGTTCATAACAGAGGGATGCCATTCATAAAAAGAAATAGAACAAGATGGTGCCTCATGTCGTTTTCTCTTGATTTTAAAAGTACTTTGTCCTCATATAGAATATAAACCTCTGCATCAATACCAATCAAATTATTTGACATCTTTTTTATTTTTTTTGGAGTCAAACAGCATTTGCGTAATTTTTTTTTTTTTACAGTTTTAATATATATTTATATATGTACATATAAATTCAACTATGAGTTCTCATAGAAAATGAGAAAAGCTGGACTTTATCGCTCTCACAACAAATGACTGGCAAGAACATTGACCCCCCCCCCCTCCTAACAGGTGGTGTGCTAACCTTCACCAAGACTTAGATCAAATGTGTCTAATATTTGTCGTTGAGACAATTATTTTTTACTTTTAGCGTCACAGATGGATTTTGGGGAACCACGTGGTTATAACTCCAATCTCAATTTTCACATTTTAAATCGGGATCAATCCAGGTTGAATCTTGCTTTTTTGTTTTAAACGTCAGATCCCCTCACCATCCAATGCGATTTGCCTCAACATTTAATCTTTCCTTTCAAAGATGGAGGAGGGAGGAGGAGGAGGAGGGGGGAAGATTGGTGGAAGCAATCCTCAGTCAAAAAACCTTTAAGTGCAAAATATCTCCCCACTCAAATAATCAATAGAAATTAACTAAACTTCACTGTGGGGTCTCCAATGAAGGATACAAGACAAAAGCTCTTCCCCCCTCAAAATCACACTCGGTGCACATTTTGTCTTTGTCTCAAACTAAAAGCTTCCCTGATTCAAAGTGCACTCAGTAGTGAAGGGGAGGGGGTGATGCAGAGAGGAGGGGGAGGAAGTAGCATGTCTGGTGATGCAGCATGTAGGGATGTAGTAGTCCTCCAGGGGGGGGGGTGGGGAATTAGTGTGTGAAAAATGAAACTAGCTGCACAAGCTCAGGGCCAGAAATCAATATGAGACTGGGGCGATGCAGAGTACACTGGGGGTTCCCTCCTGTGTTCAAATCTTAAAA